TTTTTCAATAAGAATATCCAAATGATACATATATCTGTTGTTTTTATCAATACAGTATTTGAAACTCTGGAAATTTATGGAAAATATGCCCAATGTAGACCAATCCACTTTAAACATAATTTATTATCCAAATGGTACTTTTCTTTTGTTTTGTTTTTTTTATCAATATTTGAAATTCTGAATTAAAATATTCCCATTGTAGACCAATCAATTTTAATGACATAATTTATTTTATAGCTCTTTGAAAACCAGGATAACGTTTGAACTTTTGATAGAAAAAAGCGTTCGTTGACATGCCCTTGTACACCTTCGTTATTTCCAAGAAGTGTTTTTATTTTTATACAATGTACAATGTATATATTAAATGACACAATTTCCTTCAATTATGTGTACAATCAAAGCCGACCTTTGAAAGTAAATTGTTCTCCGCAATGCTGTATTAGGTCAAAGTGTTCGTTTAAGGAAGCTATCTTACAAGCTTCTGGGAAATATGTGTGTCTACGCACGTGTCCACTCGAGCCTGTAATAATGCACGTGATACACGGAAACAAAGAACCTTCATCAGCTGGTGCTTCCGGAAAGTCGTCTTGCCCCCGTTGTAATGGCGATGACACTTACATCTTTAGAAACAGTGATGATGATGGGGAAGATGATGATGATGATAATAATGATAATTGTAATGATCATAATACTGATGAAAATATTATTATTATTTTGATTATTATTATTTTGATTATTATTATTAATTATTATTATTATTATTATTATTGTTATTATTATTATTATTTTATTATTATTATTATTATTATTATTATTATTATTGTCAGATATAAAATTTATTTATATATTTAGCATACCGTTTGATTTGACATCCTGCAGGACCAGTGATAATATTTGGTTGGCCTTACGAGGGATTTATTTTTGAACAATTTGACAACGTGCGGTGACAATAGAGTGTCGGACATGTACATGACAGTCAGTTGACGGATAATAGAACGTCATTTAATAAAGCGTTTGTGAATACGACGAGCCTCGCGTTACCGGAATGTATCACTTTTCGTCTCAATAAGAAGATAACACACTTGTTTACCGTATGATAAAGTGACCGACATGGATGTACGATAACATGACATCAAAAGTATGCCAAATTTATCACTCACTTTTTTGTGGTTAACATATCGCGACGTCTTTTTTTGTATTACACAGGGGCGTAGTTGTATCCAAAATGTGTCATGATTTTAAAGCGGCCTTCAGCATTTTATTTTTTGTGGGAAAAACAGTTCTGTGCTGTTTCAGTAATAAAAATACCCAAGAAAAGTGTATCATATCTCTGTTAAACAGCGCCCTGAGAGCTATTTATAACATGTCAGGGACGTTTTTATAGCGCAGTGACGTTCGTTTCTAAAAATAGAAGAGAGGGAAACAAATCGTCCGTTTTTCTAATTAAAGGTATCGAGTGGTTTCTTATTGTTTGTGTATTTTTATCGACGACAATCTTTTTTAATTTTACACCCTAATTTTTTTTGCTTTGACAATTATATGAAACGATGTATCTAAAAATAACATATTTAACCTTTAGAAAAACTGAAGACCGCTTTAAAGTTCTTATAAAATTACAATATCTCCTGTATTCTAGTTCGATATCTCAGCCCTTGAAGACAATGAATGTACCTAACTGTTGTTTTGACATTCAAATTCAATAACGTTTGACCTTATGCGTTTTTGGTGTGCCTCGCTACTCAATTACTGACCTTATGCGTTTTTAGTGTTCCTCGCCACTCAACTACTGACCTTATGCAAATTTTTGGTGTGCCTCACCACTCAACTACTGACCTTATGCGTTTTTGGTATACCTTGCCGAACTTACACGTGTAATTTTTGACAAATAAACGTGCGAAAATTAATAATCTGAAGACAAAAAAAAAAACAACAAAAAAAAGAACAACAACAACATCAACAACAACAAAACAATGAAAAACATAAAAAACAACAACAAGAAATAATGTTATTATTGTGGTTCACCTTGACATTCCTATAAATCAGAAAATGGTTTGACTTCTTACCAAGAGATAAATGTCTACATGTTTGTTATTCCTTTATTTTTAAAATTTTGTTTCTTTATGTATTTCATAGAAAATGTAAATTAAAAATGCGTATGCGATGAAAATCTTAATTTGTTCAATGAAAATGTAGAACATTCTATAAAAAGTTGATTTGCATTGTCGTAAAAATATCAACCAAATCACATTAACTACAAACAATCCTAACAAAACAAACATAACCCAAAGCATTATCTATTTTTGTTCAAAATATACAAGCTGGGGGAAGAGTAAGAAATATAGCGGTGTTCAACCTTTAATCTTCTATCAACATTTGGCATTTAGTGTCACAATTCTCTGTATATTTCTGGGTTTGTCAACAGAACTCTAACATCCTTTAATCTTTGTAGTTTGTCTATTTCTATCGAATTTTAAGTGTTCTGTCCTTTTCGTTGACAAATTCTCGACTCTAAATCGTAATACGCTAATCACACGTAAACAAATTTCAATCTTTGATGTTTTACAATACAAAGAATACGTTATCGATAAATACTAAAACATGTGTACATAAATGACTTCAAAATCCAAGTATGGGGAATAAAATGCTGATTTATTGGACCAATCAGAGATAAGCAAATAATTTACTGCACGACCGCTTCACATTCACCTCGTGACTGTAATGGCGGCTCTTGGTTGTCGTTTGGTGTTAGTTTGAGTGACGAAATTTTGCTTTTTGAAGAAAGAGATCAAATAGAACATCTTAAATACGATAGTATGCGGAAAAATGAAATGTTATGTCTATGGCTATGTAATCCCTTTAATATGTTTTGCCATTGATACTATATAGATGGTCAAGTATTCAACAATAATATTAGGTAGTAAAATTGGTATAAAATTCATTTTCCATTTTCTTTCGAAGGCACATTAGTATATTCATTTTGTGATATTTACTCAGAATCTAATATCCTTATTAATGTCATAGCATTTCTTCATTTGGTATAAAAAGGTGACTTGTTTCATTGGAAACGAAGCCACAAATGTTGTAAAAGTCATATCAACCAGTAAAATTTTCATTTATAAGAAATTGTGTTTTAATACCTTTGAACTTTAAATAAACTGGATATTCTTTCCAAGATAGGCGTATAATATCATGTCGCAAATATCTACAGAGATCGTTAATCAAGCCGTGTTTTGTAAAAGTATTTAAATTTAATGGTTTAATATACCACCTGAGTCTCATCTGAAATCTCGCTTTACGAGAGTATAAAAACAATAACAAACGGTAAAATTATTGGTGATGCTACAAACCGGTGTCAGTTATCAATGCAAATTGATTCTTTAGTGGATACCTGGAGAATAATATTTAATACTGACGTATCATTAACTATTTTGAATTGAATTTTCGATGGGGAATTGACCGTGCCGCTTCCAGCTTATTTCTTTTTTTCCTTCGCCAAGGCGCTTTAAACATGACAATGTCTTTAGTATTGTTTTCCCATTCTTTTTAACTAATTTCTAAAAACAATAATATCTTAATTAAAACTGATATTATTCATTTTGTAACTCAGATCGAAAGTCTCAGATAACATTACTTTGAATAGCAGACGACAATTTCTAAAAAAGGCTGCATGTGTACAGATATTAAAAACTGCATCTTATTTCTTTCCTGAAATGAAAATTAGTAAATGTATAACTTCTCAGACTATATTTTTTCATTTTTCTTTTTTAATATAAATACATAATTCAAATATAACGCAAAAGTGAGCCTTGAAAAAATAGCATCGGAACGTAGGTTTCTTCTGAATGAATGTTGAATTATGACTTTAATAAAAATCTTTGCTCGCTTGATATATGTCTCCACGACACATTTGTGAAACCCTCTATTATCTTATTCATCTTGCGGTCTAAATTCTCGCTTCTTACGATAGTAGCGTATTGAAATTTGACGTGGTGTTGACAGGAATAACTGGCGCATAATGAAGAACATTGTTCCGCTGTTTTCTGCGAGTAATTCCTTTACAATAGAGTCCTCCGGGGGATTTGATTGATTTATAGTTTAATAATTTGCCTTGCTCCGTCATAACAACTCCATTCTCAGCTTGATGTCACATAAAATTCGAGAAAATTGACATCACAAAAATGCGAAAAGGGGAAATTGGATCTTTTTTATGATTTTTAGTCAAGACTTGTACATAGCTTGCTTATATATGATTTTCGAACAGTATTTCTCTCGACAAAAAACGCCCCCGAAGACAGTCAAACATACAAAGGCTGGCCACGTAAAGTCTTGACGTCAAAAATATTTATATCTAAATAAACACATAAACTATTTGGAAAGTAAGCCTTACGAATTTATGTATAGAATTATTAAATTTCTTCAATAATTCGAAAAAAGTTTTCTTGCAATGTTTGTTATAAAACATACCTGGAAATATCAATGTGAGAGCAGTAGATATATACCAAAAAGGTTACTTTGTTTATGCTCAGATTTTCTGATCATGACCAATGTTTTCATATGTCCTTGTTTATGCCCAGGTTTTCTGATTATGACCAATGCTTTCATTTGTTCTTGTTTATACCCAGGTTTTCCGAGCATGACCAATGCTTTCATTTGTTCTCGTTTTATGCTCAGATTTTCTGATCATGACCAATGTTTTCATTTGTTCTTGTTTATGCTCAGATTTTCCGAGCATGACCAATGTTTTCATTTGTTCTCGTTTTATGCTCAGATTTTCTGATCATGACCAATGCTTTCTTTTGTTCTTGTTAATGCCCAGATTTTCTTATCCTGACCAATGTTCACATTTGTTCTCGTTTTATGCCCATATTTTCTGATTATGGCCAATGCTTTTTTTTGTTCTTGTTAATGCCCATATTTTCTGATGTGACCACTGTTTTCGTTTGTTCTTGTTTTATGCCAAGTTTTTTTATCATGACAAATGTTTTCATTTATTCTTTCAGAATATACCGTGCAAAATGTAGTGCTTGTCTTCAACACATTATACCTCCAAACCAGCTAGTCATGCGGGCACTGGATCACGTGTATCACATGCACTGCTTCGCGTGCGTGGCGTGTGGACACCCTCTTCAGAAAGGAGACGAATTTGTAGTCAAACATGGCCAGTTGTTTTGTAGAATGGACTTCGAGAAAGAAATGGCTCTAATGCCTTATAGCCCAAAAAGTAAGTTTTACTCCAGACCATTACTTGACATAACATGACTTTTAGAAAAATTTATTACGTCATTTTGAATATAATTATTATGGTTCTGTTTTTTGTGTGTTTTATTTAGATTAAAGTACGTATGTACTTTCAAGACAATACATTCCGTGATTTATAACTTAACAATTTATTTTAGTTTCCATTTTTTGAATTCATATTAGTTTATGCAGAATTTATTTTAGTTCGATTGTGTAGGAAGCTATAAGCTTATTGAAACACTCTCGAATCTGTTTCTGGAACCAACCAGTACTAAGCAATGACTGTAAAGTTTCTTGCTCGAGGAAACAACGGCTTGCCCCTGACACCCACGCGGTCAGCAATTCTTAGATTACTAGTCCGACGCGTTAACCACTCGGCCACGCCGCCATTCTAATATTGAATTTATATTGGCTTAATGATAGACGAATTGTAATACATTATCAGTTGGAAAGTTAAGTAGGTGTAATTATATTTATTATTATTATTTTTGTTTGATTGCGAAACAAGTTCTTGCAACTTATATTAATCACTTTCGAACCCGCTCCCTTGAACCAGTACTGGTGTCATATGAAGAAACATGGTCGTGACCAGATTAGGGTCCGACCTATGATCCCTGGGTTGAGGGGCAGACACCTTAACCACTGCGCTACCGCTCCCTATTTCTTTTAAGTATTAGGGGTGTTTTTTGAGGTAGTCAAATGGAAAAAGTTATTATATGCATTACATACATGGATATTTTCTTGTTGATTTTGTTCATATCGTACAAATTGTATTATGTGACGTCATAAATTTAACAGGTGATGATAGTGACAGTTACGATGACGACAGCGATTCTGGCAAACCGCCAAAGCGTCCGCGAACAATTTTGACCACAAGTCAGCGCCGGAAGTTCAAAGGTGCGTTCGAAATGAACCCTAAACCTTGTAGAAAAGTTCGAGAGTCCCTTGCGGCAGAAACTGGTCTCAGCGTTCGGGTTGTGCAAGTGTGGTTCCAGAATCAAAGAGCAAAGGTGAATAATAATTATTATGCATTCATGCAAGTGAATAATGATAATGCTTTTAGTAGTGCTTGGCCAGTTTGTTTTGCGATTGCATTTATAAAGGGGGACTCCACTGAGGTTATTTTACATGACGGGACTGTAAATAAATTTTAGAAGTTAATGTTCCATTTGATGTAGGGATAGTGCAAAGTTTCAAATCATCGCCCACACTAATTTGCCATAATAATTATTCAAATTGTTAAAAATGACTAAAAAATGCAACGCTTTTCACTAAAAACGGAGTAACTATAGCACCAAATACGATTTTCATTCACTTCAGTTGAGTGTTCCTTTCATCATCTAAGTACTAATGTTTGGCATTTATTTTTACTTCTTACAATTGAAAAATAAAAGCAACCTAATGAACGATAAATAATTTATTTTTACTTTTTGGGGGTGCAAAGTAACACATGTCAAACATTTTGAAGTAAAGTATGATTTTATAGCATTTTCTGTACTGTTAATGCATACCTTTTTTTTTAAAACAAAAAAAACTTGCTGAACATAGAAACGATTTTCATTTCCTCATTTCCTGCGAAAAACATACTTTCTTCATTTCCTGTGACAAAAAAACAACAAATAAATATGAATTATATTGCAGAAGATAATCCTTGTAGTAAAAGGTCGGCATGAAAATATAGAAATTGTTTGAAACCATCGAGAAAAAACTTCGGCGGTTTAAAGCGTTACATAATCAGCTTGCTAAATTCTGACATCCAACTTCTTTTTTTCTCTGCAGGTGAAAAAGATTGCTCGGCGGCAGAACCAAGATGGCGGAAAAGGCAAGAAAGACGGTGACGGCACAGAAAAGTCCAAGTTGAAATCACCCGGGGAGAAAAAAGACGATGACAGTGAATCGGACAGCAGTTTTATAGGTCACTCGGAAAATAATGGTATGTTTCATATACATATTATAGTATACTTTTAGAAGTATAAAAACCTAACATTTTGTATATGCAGTCGTTTTCAAAATAAACTTTGCCTCCCAATTTTGGATAGTAAGCATTTAGAAAACTTAAGTGATTTAGAACGCCACAGCCGTCCGAAAAATCTAATTTGTTTAATGATTACAAGTCTAATGATCTCTTTACAATTTAATGTTAACAATATCTTATGAACAGTTGATTTACTAGAATGATTCATTAAAGCCTATATAACAAGGTAAATATATTAGGACTCATTTTAAATACTATATATAATTTCATTGGACGAAAAAAATAATAAATATGCAATACTTATGTATATTTATGTATAATACACCGTCGGGAATCGGCACATTCCGTATTGTATGAGAACCTACAAAGAATCTTGTCTGCTTGGCGTTTTCTGGATATTTAAGTACCAGGTCCGGAAACTGACGAAGTATGTCGAATTCATACGAACCGTAAGATCGATGCAATACCCGTTTTTATTTGAACATTGCTAATTTTAGGGTTATCACAAAAGCAAGAAAGTCGAATGTTTGGCGAACAGATGAACAACTTTGACACTGATCACTCAGGTAGGTGAGTAGTTGTTGTTTTGATAGACGATGTAGGTAAGCTATCTATATCAGACAGTCATATACAGCTCGGATAAAATCGGTAAATTTCGACATTTTCCGTAGCTTAGATTTATTTGGAAAAATGATGGTGTCCGCAGTATTTTTAAATGCTGCTGCAGACATTTTGTTTATGATGTATTGAAAACATCGACCAAAGTCAATTAACAGGAGTCTATAGTGAATTTATTACCCAAATAATTCCGAATATGTCATTCTTAAATACATTTGAGCTGCGCCATGACAAAACCAACATAGTGGGTTTGCGACCAGCATAGATCCAGACCAACCTGCGCCTCCGCGCAGTCTGATCAGGATCCATGCTGTTCGCTATCAGTTTCTCTACTTGTAATAGGGTTTGTAAGCGAACAACATGGATCCTGATCAGACTGCGCGGATGCGCAGGCTGGTCTGGATCCATGCTGGTCGCAAACGCACTATGTTGCTTTTGTCATGACGCGGCTCATTTGATGATCTGACATCACTTTCGTAAACAAATGAACCACTGATATTTTCCTCTATCCATTTTTAAAGGCCATTATCTTATTTGTTTCAAGTCCCAATACTCGGCCCTTCTTGTAAAACAATTGCATTTTTTTCACAAGCAATGACTCTCATTATAAAACTCTATATATAATTCTAAACTATAACTCATAACTACAACACCAGCTTTTTTATGTTTATATACAACTCAGTTTCATGACAAAAGGTCAGATCAGCAAATTCTACCTTCCGTTATTCTTTAGAAAAAATAACGAAAAAGATAAGAGAATTTTTCTTTTCCTTCTTCGTATGTTATCATGTGAGGTCAGACAGTACCCGGTTTATTTCAAAGAATTGCATAACTTTTAAGAAGAAAAAAAGTAGTGTTTTTGTTTCTTTGTATTTTTTATTAATAGCTATCAATTTTTACGTTGCAGTTCTTAAATATATTTCATGAATGTCCATTTTTAATAATAATAATAATAATAATAATAATAATAATAATAATAATAATAATTATTATTATTATTATTATTATTATTATTATTATTATTATTATTATTATTTTAACCTCCTTCACGCTTTTATGGCATAATATTTTGAATTGTGCAAAATTGTTTATTCCAACCAAGACAAATATCATTCAAAGCATTAAAAGTATACTAAAATTTTACAATGAAATGTGTGGAAACATCTGCCTGATACCATAGTGGAATAAACTCCAGCAAAATTTACAGTTTTGATATCGAGAAGTTCAGCTCAGTTGGGATTTTCTTTTTCAAAGATTGGGGTAAAAATTAGCATATTTGCCGTTGGGAATGGGTCAGGTAATTTGACCTGTGGTGACACTGGGAAAGGGCATGATAGATCTACCAATTAAATATTATTTGATTTATATATTATAACACCATGTTTATATTGTTTTAGATTCGGCCTACTCTAGTACAAACACCATCTCTAACAACGTGTACAGCAACGGGTCCATGAACATGGATGAAAAAATGGAATCTTTGGACCAGATTTTAAGCTCGGACGGTCGGACAAACGGCATGTCGGCGTCAAATCCATTGATAAATCCCATTGATAAACTTTACTCCATGCAAAGTTCATATTTCAACGCAGAATAAAGTGATGTTTTGGAGGAGACTGGATCTTTTAAACTATAATTCATAGCTGGATTATCCTACTTTGAAGTAGACTTTTGCGGTAGATGAAAAATGAAACAAAAGAGGAACATTCGGTCATTTTAAGGCTGATTTTAGAATTTTGAAGTAATGAATGAGATAGGCAATGGTGAGGCTCGTATTTAAGAAGCAGAGGAATAATTTTGGATTCGAGGGAACTGTTTCTGTTTCAGAACATAGTGAAGTCTGGTTGTAAAGTCTTTGATTATGTTTGACTTCTGTATATGACACATAGATACTAGTGACATATGTGAAGTGCACGTGACCCCTCGTGGCTTTGGATACAATTAAGTGACATATTTAAAGTTGAAAGTGCTGTGGCTACGAGCCACATTTTCTTTGTAGGTTGACAGCAAAGTTTTGGCTTTTGTCTTACTAGAGAAAATGACTTGATATATAGTTAGATGGTTTGATGACGCCATATTGCAACAATTAATGACGTCAAATATATGTGTAATGACGTAGCTTTGGTCTTTGAGACTACATACATGTGCGAAGAAGTATGACTTTAAGGAATTTGGTTAAGCCTTTAAGTTATCTCCGACTGTAGGATGATTGCAAACGAGAAAAACATTTTACCTGTGAACTCATTTGTCTTGGCTTTAAGAAACTTAGCCCGACAGAAGTTAAAAAAAGGATTTTGTGAATGTAATGGCAGGTTACTAGATAGAATACGAAATGAAAAAAAATAATATTAATCCTCTAGACTACCTAGGTTAATACACGTACGATATTTTGTAACATTAACATTTGAGTAGTAAACTTGTATAGTGTTTAATAAGCAAGAATTTTGATTAAGCAAGAATTTAGTTTTTGTAAGGGTAGGTAACTCTTGAGGAGACAGTTGCATGAATTATCTTTCTTTGCTGTTGTTGTCCTTATAACTATGACATTTACCTTGTTCTTATTAATTTAATTACTCTTTTCACACACAACCTGCTGAATTTCTTATAATGGACTCGTCAAGCTACCATTTTAGGAACTGTCCATTATTAATTTTGGGGAAATACAAAACTTCAATCAACAGTATAGAGCCTGGCTCCAGGCTTGCCTGACTCTGTACTAGTGGCAAATGTTAATCACTTCCGGTTCCAGTAGGGTAAGGGTTATAAATTTACGGTTTGACTGTATTGATCATATTCTTTGAAATCAGGACCTAGGCTATGATTTGTATGAATACCTTCACACATTTACAATATTTTAAATAAATTTGTCAAAAAATAAAGCATTTGTTAAGTCAACAAAACTAATTCAGCTAACGCATCACAGATATCCATTTTTTGGACGTTTGCCGTTTTGTTACCAAAAGTTACTTAATTTGTCGAGTTTACACGAAATATTACATTATTTGTTTAATTGTTGTAGTCTAGAATTATGTTTCGTATTTATTTACACATTTTTTTTACAAGAAATATAAATTGTTTTGTGCATATGAGGAGAGACGGGTCAATTTATTTTATTTATTGATGTAAGCGGCTGTTAGCATGAAGAATTGGTCACTATAATTTTATGACAGACACACTGTGTGACAAAGAGACAGAAGAAACAGTTGTAGAAGCTGAGAATTTCCAAAGGGAAAATAAGAAAGATTTTATTTATTGTTGTCATTAATTTATTTATTTTTGTCATTTGGATTTTTTTGTAATTTGGTTGAAAATGTGTTTTAGTTGTTGACAAAAATCATTATTTCACATTTTATGAACTTTTCGCTTGATATTTTGTTGTGTTTAATTTGGATACATTTGCAGGCACTGAAACAGTTTTTTTGACCTTGGTGGGCGTGGGCAAGTTGGGTGGGGGAAAGGAGGGGCTATTTCTTTAAAACACGATCCATCCAAATGGGGGCGGTGGAGACTTACCTTACTTGTGAAAATACAGTTGTTTCTTTTTTTTTTAAATAATAGTACTGACAAATTGTTTTAAATGGATACAATTTTTGATTATTTTGTTTATCATTTAGACGATTATAGTGCTATCAAATCAAATCCAGCAACTTGTAAACTTTTTTGGTAAGACACTCAATACTGTATAAACAAAGGCAAAACAACATAGGAATTGTGTTTGTTAGGATGCACCAATTACACATTTTTATTTTGTTTAGGCCAAGCATATTCTTTTTCCGGTTTTCTGTCCGAAAACGTGATTGGTCAGTTTTAGTTACTTTATTTATGTACAGCGATACTATATTAATGTCGATTATTATTATTATTTTCTAATATTAAGGGAAATACTATAAGAGAAAGTTGTAAGATTAAAGGTTAGCCGAAAAACGTAGAAAGATTATTTGTTAAAGGCCATAACATGGGTGGTCAACCCACGTGACTTTTTTTTTGTATCGCACTCACACATTTTTAGAATTTTAACGTGTGATTAAGATACAATGGCGGGTCTTGAAATGTCCGAATTTAAATCTCATTGTTAGGAACAATCTTCAAAATAATTTTTAAAAAGATGATAACACCTGATATAGCTTAGAATTCTGGGTACTGTGGGTTTTATTTCCAGAATATCTGGACATCAAGTAGCAGTTAAGTTATCGGTGAAAAACATACTTGAAGTGCGTAACAGTTCCCTTTTTTGTGCAGGACTACGATACCTAGAAAGTCACGTGACTTGGCCGCCTTTTCACAATATCATATTTTGTTGTCATTTGTGCTAATCATGTTTCTCATTTATTATAAAATAAATTATTTGATCATTTTTGTCTTATCGTAAAGTGTTATGAACATATAAACTGTATGTTTTTGTGCGCACTTGGTTAATGTTATTTTTAAAAGTTGAAAAATTCTGAAAAAAAAATGAAATAAATTGTGAAATAAATCAGAATGTTTGTGGTTTACTTCTGTGATGAAAATATCTTTTACGTTCCCGTCTGAAGAGAAAATGCCCTATTTCTTATACATCCGTATATATACAACAGTTTATGACTTTATTATTTATATACACCCGTGTATGCAACAGTTTTAAGAGTTTATTATTGATATTCATCCGTATAAGCAGTTTTAAGAGTTTATTTATGATATCCATACGAATATGCAACAGCTTTAAGAATTTATCATTGATATCCATCCGTATATACAAGCGTTATATGAGTTTATTATTGATTTGCATCCGTATATATACAAGAGTTTAATAAGCTTATTATTGATAACAATCAGTATATACAAAAGTTTTAAGAAAGGACCCTTTGTCTCAGACTTGCTAACTCCATACCATACAGATGCTTAAAATATGTGTCTACACTGACCAAGTGTAACACATTTAAAGCGTTTTCATGACCCGGAGTATATAATCTAGGCACGCCGTGTTCGTGACCACCCGAGTTTTATGACAAGAAGTTCAATAGACTTCATCTAAGAAAGATTTAGTGTCCTCCATTTAGTTTATGCCTGTTTTGGAATATGCGAATGTTTATAAATTCAAAAATTTTCCATTTCATTTTTAAATGATGAAAACTGCTAAAGGCGGTGCTAGCGGGCGTGGACATTGGCTGGCATTCAACACTACCATCCATGAATCGACTCAATCAATCGAGTTAGCAACATTTTGAATTTTGTCATTTTTTTAGGGATTCTATTCTCTATTTATGTTGAAATGTTGAATTCTGCTTTAGCCGGTGCTAGGGGGCGTGGACGGTAGTTTGCATTTAACAGTGCCGTCCATGAACAGGCTCAATCAAACCGAGCCTGCAACATTTTCAATTATGCCGTGTTGGGCTTTCTTAAGGGATTCTTATTTTCTCTATTTTAGTATTTGGCCCCTTAATCAATGGATGACAACCTTTACAACTCAGCCACGGATGCTTCTGGAAGCATTCAACCTTTGAGAAAGCCCAACTTTTTAAAGCAAATATCTATAAATCCACGAATCTTTCCCCCCGACTCCTTTTCAAATATTGTTGTCTAAATATTAAAGAAATATCACAAACTTATTAGAATAAGTACTTCCCAAATGACTTTTTAAATCCTACGCCACATATTTCCATTATAACTTCTAATGCCCAAGGTATCCCGATTTCCTATTTTGTCTTAATATTTCAGATAAGCGTGACATTAAATTACAATTAATACAAGTTTCTAAACACGGTTTAACGCCGGGAGTTTGTCACATTATCGCCGGAGACATTGATATATATCAAAACAAACAGAGTTGAACAGCGATTTAGATCATCTAAGGCAATATTAATGTTAAATAAAATGAATGAAAGTTTTGTCACCTTTAGTTTCCCTTATCTTAAGCAACGGATATAGACTTGCAATTTCTCTTTAAGCTAAAAGATGCGTATACCAAGAGAAATGGTTAAGGCATAGTTTTGGGGATTTGTTACGTTAACTTTTTTATTTGAAACTTATCTATACAACATACGAGGATGGGTCAATATGTTATGTAATATTAACTTATAAAGTATATTGTATAATAAGCTCGTGTTTGTGCAAGCTATGATATGCAAAAAATCCTCATATTCAATAATTGAATTATAGCTTTTAAACAAACTGATTTATTCGATTGATTGATTGATTTTCTTAATAACGGACAGTCAAGGATTACCTACAAAAGTGCAAGCACTTATTTCAAGCAGGGTCCTCACCTCAGCAGACTCCAGAGACAGCTATGAGATGCATAGGAATCCGGGCACCAGTCACTAACTCTTATTGAATAGACCCCTTGGTTCTTTTACATGTCCAGTGTAAAGCACTGATACATGCGAGAATAACCTGGGTTTCTTACCAGTATACCTCTAGGTAAGGTGGGAAACACTGAAAGTATTTCTGAAAAATCCCAAGAGTGTTACCCAGGATCCAACCCGGAACCTCAGGAGTGACAGTCATTGGTATTATCAACTGAGCTATCGAGCCACCTCAAAATCAAAATTCAAAATAAAAGTGTTGACAATAGAAATGGTGTATACATATCAATCAAAATTTTAGTTTTGTCACCTTCCATAGTCATACAATCATTCCTGACTAAAATTTAAATCTTATACAATATTATCAAATGCAGTAGTAATATTGCAACATCAAACTAATGAAACAAAAAATCAACAGCATAACTATGTATTAACTATTTGAATAATCAATGAGTACAAACAATGTATCAAACCTGTTTTATATATTATACACACACAACCTTTACAATACAACTGAAGCAATAAAAGTAATATCTATTAACAGATTGCTTTATTCACAATTAGCAGGGTTTTTTTTTCTGTCAATTTCTATTATCGGCTCTGAGCTATCGAATTCCTGATCCGCACTTGGAATACACTTGACAAGTCAGTGTTTCTGAAAAGGAATTCCTCAATGGTTGTGGTATTTATATTTCAGTAACTGTCGGTCCTCAGGTCCTTGCCTGCCTTCTGCTTAAAACATATTGCTGATACTTAGTCGTTTGATGTTGAGACCATTTGAATTCATAAGCAATGGTTGATTCTTACAGTTTCTTAAAACTTTTACTTTTACGTAAGATACCCCTGAATAACTTAAGGTATTACTTGCCTTTTGATAGTCTTGAATATCACTTCCATGTAGTTGAATTATTCTTATCGTATTTGAACAACGAACCTTTTTCAACATTCGCAAGAGCGAAGTAGTAGTGAAAATTTAAGCATGTAGGAGAGACCTTTCAATAACAAAACACTATGGATTGAATCTACTTCTTGTATAGATGAATGCCCCAAAGTACAATTTTTTGGTAATTGTTTCCATATCATCTATCATAAATATTTTCAAAGCTTTTGTGACATGAATGAATTACGGTTCGGGGCAACACAGGTGTCTGTCCAAAGAATAGATGATTTCACATGAGGATTCAACCTTTTAATACCCCTCAAGATGGCAACAATACCACTGAAACTTTTATTTGCCCCTTGATCTGATCACTTATTGATTCGTTTCAAATTGCATTTTATGTCCCAATGTCATTAGAACTATGTGCTATTCGATAAAACAAATTCAATTGTCTTTTCCAAAAGAAATTGCTAATGTTCGCCTTCTGCAAATGAAACACATTTTCCAGATCAAACGTACCACTTTTTTTATCATTTACTTCATTTGGATCATTATCTCTTTCGAGGGTTGTTTCTATTTTGTCCTTTTCATGGGCAATAAACCTTACATTTTTGTCTTTGTCTGTAACCTCTTCATTTCTTTTGAGAATAAAAAATTGGGAAATCCGGTCATTATTACCAGTATGCATTACATTATTAGTTTCATCAAACTGGAATGAGTAGGGAAACTGGATTAGGCAAAGAAACTGGATTAAGCAGAGAAACTGGATTAATCAG